CCGCGATACAAATCCTTTCTTAAATAAAACTAGTTTATTCTTTCTCAATACAACTTTGCAATACACTTAATTTCCACAGTCACCTTATCTTAACACATGCTATAATTCACAACGATTCACGCACCTTACTTACGGTCACTACCGCTCACCTGACTCGATTAACTGTGTCTATTATCTTCAATCTCTCTATCTACTACTCTAGTTAAACACATGCTATAATTCACACACTTTACTTACTACTGTGCTTGACTTAATTGTCTGTCTCTATCTCTGCCTGTCTGCAATTCAATTATCCCGTCACTTTATTTGCCGGTTTATATACTGTAAGAGCGCATGTCAAGCAAATACTCGAGCCTTCAGGAACGTTCGAGATACTCATTACGTGTTACCAGCATCAAGTGACTTCCACTGTCGTAACAATGATAATATAATAAAAATGTTTCACAAGGAACGCACGCAAGCAGCAAGTAGATAATGTAAATCGAAAGCATAATGAATGATTTACAACTTATAATGGCACGGACAGTAGTTAGATGTGGTTCAAAGGGTGATAAAACAATAAAATTTAATTATAAATAGATGTATACCGTTACGAGCTTAAAGCTACTAAGGATAAACTAATGTAGTTTCATGTTACAATTTCAAGACATTCTAGAAAGAAAATAAGGGTAATTTAGATTTATTTTGACATTTTTTGGTTACGAGGTCGGTCAAATTTACCAATCCCGTTTTGAGTTAGGGTAGAGAAAATAACAGATAGAATATAAAGTTTTACTAAAAAAAAAGTTTGAAATGTATTTAAGAGGTTTCAGGGATTACACAAAGGAAATTTGAGATTTTTGAGATGAGGAAAAGTATTCTTAATCTTAACATGAAAATTACTTTGCACATGGACTAGTCAAAACAAATCTTTTTTTTTAGTTTATCAAATATACTTCACTAAAATATATTATTTTTTGTATGTGAAAAAGTTATAATGTTAACTGAAAGACTGCCAAATTTTGTGAAGACATATACACTATATTGAAAGTTAAAAGTATTACATCTATAAAGGCTTTAAACGAGTACAAAAAGGTCACGTGGTTGGTCAAGTTGACCGAGCCTGTGTTGAGAGAGTTAACACTTTCTTTACAAACAATGAAACAAACTTAGTTAAATTTTATATTTTCATTGTCTGTTCTTATGATTAGTAAAACAATTTATTTTATGGTAATCTTTAATAAAAAAATTTTTTGTCAGTATCGAAACCTGGCATTTATAATTTCAAACAAGTTAGATACATCACTGATCCACTAACCTAGGAGGTTTTAAAAACCTATACAGCATTTCAAGTATTATCACATTGAATTTCTAATCCTGAAAATTGTCAATGCTGTAAAATTAAAAAACCAGCAAGACTTTTTTTATTTAAAACTATAGCATTGGACTAGAATAAACTAAACAGTAATCTCTGTACAAGTTTGAAAACCACAAGATAGAATGAACTTACTGAACATCTACTTACTCTCTTATACCAGCAAAGTTTTCCTCTTCTTGTGATTGATTGATCCATGATATCATCACTGACAAGGAAAAAGGCTTGAAGCTAGGAAGAAATAGGGTCGGTAATCAACAGTCAGACTAATAGAAACTAGGTTTTAGTTAGCATTCAGACTTAATAGAAACTAGGTTTGTAGTTAGCAGACAACAAACAGAATAGAAACTAGGTTTGTAGTTAGCAGACAACAAACAGAATAGAAACTAGGTTTGTAGTTAGCAGACAACAAACAGAATAGAAACTTGGTTTGTAGTTAGCAGACAACAAACAGAATAGAAACTTGGTTTGTAGTTAGCAGACAACAAACAGAATAGAAACTTGGTTTGTAGTTAGCAGACAACAAACAGAATAGAAACTAGGTTTGTAGTTAGCAGACAACAAACAGAATATAAACTTGGTTTGTAGTTAGCAGACAACAAACAGAATAGAAACTTGGTTTGTAGTTAGCAGACAACAAACAGAATAGAAACTAGGTTTGTAGTTAGCAGACAACAAACAGAATAGAAACTAGGTTTGTAGTTAGCATTCAGACTTCATAGAAACTAGGTTTGTAGTTAGCAGACAACAAACAGAATAGAAATCAGTTGTGTGTTAATTTCAAGCAAGATAATATACAACTTTACTATTCATGCAATCTTAAAGTGAAAGACGCATTTCAATTTATTCTATTAAGGCAAGTATTAACATAATATTTATATAAAAATATCAGTAAATATTTTTGAATTATTCACTTTCAGTGGCATTGGCTATTGAATTAAATAAAGGCTTCTAAATACAACTTTTCAAATGTTATATTTCTAGCATATCCTCACATTTAACAAAAAAAAACTAAACAAATGCAACATAAAGCTTCTCACACAATAAACCTAGTATTAGTTACCATTTCAATACACCAGCCTAAGATTTGGGCTGATTTTATATTCTCTGCTGTCAGTTCTTCAGGTTTTGCTAACAGCTTATACGACATAACCACTGCCAAGCCTCGGTTCCTCTTCCCACCTAATACATTGTATTCTAAGACCTGGATTCAGAAAACAGAAATATCAACTTGTAAACTAAAGGCAGAAATATATATATACATAATTATAAGTTTTCTAAATAACATATGTAACTCTTTAGAAACAAATTTATAAAATGAAGTTGCCTTACATCTATGTGTAGTACTAGACTTCTTAATGCAACTAAGGTATACTCTATTATCTTAACATTTTAACTTCCATTAACAGTATTGGTTAGTATGTTTAATGTATCTAATTTTATTTCTATTATAGAGATTGTTTTGCACTGTTAGCTTAATATATATATATATATGTGTGTGTATTAAGAAATAACCTAAATCTCCTAAGATGACTCAACTTCAGATGTTTAATATAACTACTCTAATCATTACAAAAATCCATGCCTTTGTAGATATGATACAATTGTAATAACAAAAGTTAACATTTTCCTAAATGGAAAATGTATTTCCAATAATACTTACTTCTTCTCAATCTTATAGCTATTACTTGACCAACAGAGTTTCCTCCTTTGTCCATCTAAGCATTGATCTAATTTTTCTCACTTTTTCCAGTCTTTTATATCCCACTCAACTGCCCTTGGCAATATTTATCTCATGATACTCTCCACCTATGTCAATATGCCCTCTATCCTGGTACTGTATATAAGCAATCATTCAGATAATGTTATCACTTTTTCGAAACTGACTCAATCCCAGTCTCTAACAATGGCTCTTAGTGGGGAGGAAAGGTGGGAGAGTGTGAAAAGAGGTAAGTATTACAGGAAATACATTTTCAATTTAGGAAAATGTTAACTTCCAAAACATACATACCTGTTCCCACTTATAGCTAACAAATTGGCACCATAGTGGGGGAACCACACTACATACAGAACAGGTATGCTCTTCACTCAGAACTAAATTCCTGTATTGTGGGTAGAATTTCACATGAGTTTTCATCACTAAAGGTCAGCCCCAACCATATAGCCGAGGTTCCGCTACTCGAGGTAGGAATTAAAGGGTCATGGTCCCTATATCCCACGTTGGTGGTAATGGCAATTGGACCACAAATGTTACATACACTTATGTAGCCATAGAGTGATGCATTCCAAGCCACCAGAATCATAATGAGAAAATAAGCAACACTAAAGTAGGCAAACCTTCTCCACCAAAGGAAACAGAACTCATCTGGTCTGGAATTATGAACATTCATCCTCACTCCCCAATCGTGTGGGCAAGGTACATTCCACTTGCCCCCAGAATTATGGGGAGGATGTGGAACAACTGTGCTCAACCAAGAACCCAGAATGGGACCACTCTGCATTTGGAAGTACGAGGAGATAGTGAACCCTCTTTCATGAACAATGTACTGAACCAATAATGATCAAAAGAGAAGGGCCATGCACACCCCAACCAGATAGCCGAGTGTCAAATCTGAGCCAGTATTATGAGTAGGCTCCTGCATAAGCTGGTGCCACTTCTATTAACATCCAGGAACCCAGGTAGGAGGGCCCACAACTTTGCCCTCCTCTCCAATAGTGGAGCATGTCATTCTAACACTCTGGAGGAAACTCTTCTGTCCACCACTCCAGTGACTGGAAACTGGGTGTAGTAAGAGCTCCCAACTCCACTAGTAGAATCTGGGGGGTAAAGTGCATTGAGGAGTCCTGAGAAACAGTGCATGTGAAACATTGCAATAGGTGAACCAAGTTCCCTAAATCTTAAAAGGCAAACCAAACCTTGATTTATTCAATCCAAAGATTGGCAGGATCTCTTTATGCTTTACTCATGATAGTCCATGAGTGGTGGTCCAGCATAGAATGGTAATAGCACCTGGTCAGCTCCTAGGTGGTCTTATGGAACACCCCATTTCTAAAGAGCTTTTTGCAACCTGTATAAAGCATACTGAATAAGTGTTTGCTAGTGTAGAATTGGTTTGATAGAAGACGAACCTGGGCAACACTTGCAACATAGTGGGATCCTGTGAAAACAAGGTAAGGGACCCTAAAAGGAAGCAAAGAAAATATTCATCCTTCTGTATAATCTAGCAGAAATGGTCAAGATAGCTAGAGGGGGTCAGCAAAAACCCTTGAATGAAGAGACTGCCAGATCATGCAAATAATAGGAGATAAAACTATTGGGGGAGGTCCACATACCAGTCAACACAATGATCTCCAGTGGGGAAATCGACCGGGCTGCTAAGGAAAGAGAAATGTGGCAAATTTGAATAAATGTGACTTGCAGAAGGTTCCTGACCTTCAAAGAAAGCCCAGAATAAAAGATCATTGTCTAGCATATCTAAAGACATTAGTGCAGGCAACAAAACCTTCAAGACCCTCACTGAACATGACCAAGATTGAAATCTGATTGGACATAGAAGTGAGAAATAGGGATTAGATGAATTGGTGAACAGGAATGAACCCCTTTCTTGTCTAGCAATGTGTTGAAGTCTCCCCTGAGGACGTAGTGGGAAGGATAAAGCAGCCAGTGGACAAACAGCACAAATCACTCTGACTGGTGAAGTCTGTAGGTCAGCAGCCATGAAAAATAAACCTTCAGGTAAAGGAGATACATGGCATATCAGAGTCAGGTAACAAATAAGTGTTGAGAAAGATCATTTAATGTTACCATAATATACCTTTTATGTAACAGGAATGGTCATTTGGGATCAAGGACCCAAAGCTACTTGATGAATCTGGACAGTACTGGGGACTCAAAAACATGTAGTTGCTATAATCAAACAGTAGTTAATAAGGCCACCTGATGCAAGAACCTCTGCCATATAGCCAGGTCAAAAAAAAAGAAGTTTATGGTTGGCACTTCTGATCAAAATAGGTTCAACCTCCTACCAATATACCCTTGCTGATATGCATGTCATTTCCAATGATAAAAGTGCATATTGGAGCATGCAAAAAAGTGAGATAGATACATGGCAACCTTAGAAATTAAACCATGATGCTGAGTGAAAGACTGCATAACCTCTATGCCTGACGCTTGAGCTTCTGGATAGCCAGGTGTACCATATCAAATCATGGCTGCCTCCACACAGAGAGCCTAAAAAGAAGTGGAAGAGTTGGACACACTGGAAGTAACTGCAGTAGCAGAAACCAGGGTGTAGCAGCCAATCTAGTGCTATCAACAGCAGCTGAAAACGGGTTGGAACAAATCATATTTAGTACCCTGGATAACATATGAAGTGGAGAGAAGGCTCAGAGTTGTAATCCTGTCCTGTTCTGATGGAATGAATCTATTGCCAAAGCATGAAGATGAGTGACTGGAGACCAAGTTGCCAGTAGTTGGGTGATCCAATGAGAAGCCAGCCCATCAATCACAGTTGCAAAATGAGAACCACTCCTACGAACCTTGCAATGCATCATTCATTCTGTTGGGAGAATCTCTTAGGATCGACCTGGGTGATAAGAAAGGAATGGTCCCAAGAAAGAAGGTCCAAAAGTAAAAAACAAGGAGCCCTACTCAATGAGAGAACAAAGGAAATATCAGAGTGAAACCTGATGATTTTTCCCTTAATAAGCCCAGATCATGAGGCATTTCCTGTGAAAGAGTAAGAAGAGCTAAAACATAGTGTAGAAAATCCTCATCATGCGTGCATAGGCCCTGGAATTCCTGACTGTTATGATATACACCCCCACCCCTGAAGCAATACATTCATGAAGAGACTGAACTCTGGACAAGGTGGTGGTAGAGGAACCCATTTTGCAGTACTGTCCTGACTTAACAACTCCCTTGAGAATGAAGAATGATCCCAACTAAAGAAATTAGGGAAACCAGTGAATTGACATGTATGAACCCTTGGTCGCATAAAAACCATTAAAAGGATCTTATGCTTTCATCCCAAAGTCACAAAGGATATGAGTGATGTACACATTCCCAGAAGAGTAAGGACCATCCATGCAAGTGGAGCAGGAGAAGTGAGTAAGAGAGTGATGTCCTATTCCATAGTGTTCAGCCAGATGGAAGTCAGCAAAGCCTAACTGAGAGAAAAGATGAAAAATTTAAAACATACCCAGACTAATGACATATTGCATTGGTGCAAGAATAATGTCTGAGCCCTGAAAAGGAAGCCTGCCTTGGTTGTTTCTGAAAGTAGAATCAGGATGTGGTGTTCAGACAATTGACGAGATGGTGCCAGTAACCAGTCATCCATGAAATGGTGTATGCACAGCATGAGGGAATGAAAATGACAAAAAAAACTCCTACTATACAGCAAAACAATATGAAACCTGTGCAAGTCCAAAGGGAAAAAAACCCAGAAGTGCAATTCATGACCCTTGTGCACAACAAATGAAAATAGTGGTGAAACTCCACCACTATGGCAATGTGTGGTTGATAGAAATGAGAAAGATCAATAACTGGACACCTATCTCCTGTCTGCATAGGCTCAAAGACAGACAGGCACAAAACCTTGGAAAAACTAGCATAACTCTCTCACTATCCCCAGACCAACCAAACTCCGATAGCCTGAGAACTATGTTCCAAATCCTGATGAACTGTGAAAGATGGAACCCAACAGGTTGGGTGGATAATAATGATGAAGATGTGAACTGAATGACTAATCCTGACTCAAGGACCTGCAGAGCACCTGAATCCACGGTGAAAGGTACCACACGTCCAAAATTTCTTGGAGCCGAGCCTCCACAGACCCTAAAGGTATACAATAATCACCGAGACCAATATATATATATAAACAACTAATCAACAAGTTAAGCTGGTCTGTAACTCATACCTATCTTGAGGACATGCATATAGAATGTTTTTCAAACAAGTTTACCTTCAGTTTTGGATAATATAGCATAGGATCCAGCTGAGACGCCAAAGTTTGAAGTTAAAAGAAAGTATTGCAAATTGTAAAAAATTCATATTTGTACACAGAGTTAAAGTTTAATAGAACATTTAATGGTTACTCATTTTTGCAGCTATGCCTCAATTTCAGCTTTTCTACTGTTAGTTGAATCTTATATCTTAATTTATTCTTTTAATACAAATGACTTAGCTCCAAAAAACAAATTTGTTTTAATCAACTTTCAGGAAAACATTTGAAAGAAAGTGGTAAAGGAACTGACAAGAGGTAACTGTGAAAACAAAGGCAAGACTCATCAAGGTGCAAAACTACCATGTGTTGGTGTCACAAATGAGACTTATAACATCTGGTATTACAGCTTACCTAATGACTGAATATCAATTTTACGAACTCATGATGTGGGCTCATCTCTTAATCTATCCAATATTATGATCAATCTTCAGTGGTTTTAAATTCAATTTTAGAAAATCAGTAAGTCAACTTTTCATCCTATAGAGTACTTGATATGTCTAAAATTTTTAATATTTCTAATGATTACATTAAACTAATGATAGGTCAAAGTCTCCAACCTATAGCTAATGACTATCAATCTTCAGCATATCCAATGGTTATGTAAAACTTGATGATTAAATTTCATCCTTTTCAATAATTATTTGAGCTTAATAAGTATGTCTAATTTTCCATTGTACAAATACATGTTTAAGCTATAAATAATTAGATTTCACACTTCCAAAGTCTCAAAGTCTTAAGTAATTGTGAAAAGTTGGTATATTACTGTTTACTAGTTTTATAATAACAATTGGAACAGTTTATAATGATTAGTTTATACCCTACAGTCTTACAAATCAAATAACTTCAAGTTAATTGTATATCATACCCACCAAAATCCTTAAAGCCAGTCTATTATTATTATACAGATATATATGTACTGTTCTGAATCTGATATGATAATAAATATTACTCTAAGTACCCTAAATTTCTTCTCCTGCAGCAAGGTTTATTGCAATATTTATCTAAAATATCATACAGAACAAATAAAGTAGAGGATGTAACTCTATGAACTGGAGGCCAATATAAACTGCTCCAGCTTTAGTTCTTGTAATGGATGACGTTTCAAGCCCTATCAAATGAAATAAACAGTTGATATTTTAAATTAAGTAATATATATCATTCAAGTTTTTTACTCGCACTTTGTACCTGTTTAAACCACCTAAAAACTTCTTGAAGTTCCAACTCTTTCTGTTTCTCTGTAAGTTCTGCCACAATTTCTTGGAAAAGCTGATCAAAGGCTTGTACTTCTTCTTGTTCTGTTCTCTCACTAAGAGTATTCCCGTTCCTGAAAATCAAATTATTTGACACTCAAGTGATATAAAATTTCTATTTGTGTTCAACACAAGATTAAAACCTATCATGTACAACATCAATTATAAAACAGTAATTATTCAAAGTGTATGCATTTTTACTTTTTTTTAAGAAAATAGATTCTTAAGCTGTTTTGAAGTCAGGGGTGTACAGGGGAGATTTTCCCTCCTGCACAAAAAAATCCCCCCCCCCAGTTATATTCCCCTTTAGAATTCCACAGCACATTAGGCAAGTGTGAAAGCAAAAAATGGTGAAAAGGCAAGCATGAATAATCACATCAATACTGCAACTGTCCTTTTAAAGTCTTAGAAACTGTTTCATTGTCCAAAAGGTGAGAATAAAACAGCAGAGACCCCAAAGTCATAACCTATACATCAAAAGAAAATGGTAATGAAAAAGGAGAGATGAAGAAGGATCGACAGCCTTAGAAGTTAAATTAGCCATGAACATAAGAATTCATATTGCAGGAAATGATGTTTCTGATGAGCTAATAGACAGTTCATAAACAAGACATCACAAGATTACACATTAAGATAGGTTGAGAAGAACTAGTTCATAATCAAGACATCACAAGGTTACACATTAAGATAGGTTGAGAAGATCTCATTCATAAACATGACATCACAAGGTTACACATTAAGATAGGTTGAGAAGAACTAGTTCACAAACATGACATCACAAGGTTACACATTAAGATAGGTTGAAGAGATCTCATTCACAAACATGGCAATGCAAGTTTACACATTAAGATAGGTTCAGAAGAATTAATTTATAAACATGACATCAAAAGGTTACACATTAAGATAGGTTGAGAAGATCTCATTCATAAACATGACACTACAAGGTTACACATTAAAATAGGTTGAGAAGATCTAATTTATAAACATGACATCACAAGGTTACACATTAAGATCTCATTCATAAACATGACATCACAAGGTTACACATTAAGATAGGTTGAGAATATCTCATTCATAAACATGACATCACAAGGTTACACATTAAGACAGGTTCAGAAGAACTAGTTTATAAACATTCTCAACTTTACATGGCGAATAAATTTGAATTCCTAACGGTTTGAGCTTTGTTAGTATAAAATGAACATGAACAAGAGTTTGTTCAGTTCATGTGTTTAAAAATGCTGGACTTGATTAACCTACATTCCTGAAGCCTTTTTGAGTGGTGAAAGAAAAGTCTAGAACTCTAAAGCTTGAATGTTAGGATCAGAATGCATAAACTTTGGAAGAACAAATTCAGAACTAAACCTCCACATTGGCAGTATTACTTTTCTCTTAATAATAATAAACTTATGGATAACTTTTCTGATGGCATGATAGATATTTCAATCTAATATGTTTGTTTCTTTTATTTGCTTGGAGACAGAAACACAGGGCAACATTTTGATTGGACTGGTTGTTGTTTAGTGTAGGTGAGGAATAATCTGTGTTTTAAATGGACTTCTGTCACTTTGCTCATTCTTATTTTGGTAACTGACTTTTAAGATTGGAAAATAGAAAATTATAATAAAAATTGACAGCAGAAGAATTAATCGCTTAGAACCCACACATGAAAGAAATAAAAATAGCTTTAAGCTCCATAAACTTAGAAATACACACACAGACACATGGAAATATATACAGGTATTTCTACTTTAAGGTATACATATACATATATACCCATGATCTTCTTGGTCAGCATCAGACATCTTCGTTGAAAGCCACGTAGAAAAGGACTGGGAAGATGAAAGTTTTGCAAAATTTCTGCAACTCTGGAAAAGTTAAATGTTATCAAATATTTATGTAGTATTTTTGCATTTTTTGACAAAGATATTAAGATCTAAGGGATATAGTGATCTCAGATACAGAATGTAGACCAATAGAAACTTCTTGAGCTAGCCAAAACATTTTTGTTACATTATGAACAAAAGATCTTTACTTAACATGCATGATATGTGAATCAATCAGATAACACATTGAATTTTCAGCCACCAACATTCTCCTATAAAAGTCAAGCCAAACACAATGATTTTTTTCTAATTTTTATAAAGCCAACAGTTTTTTTTACACACACATGTATACATAAATATATATACTTTCACTGTACAAGGTGATTTCAGGTATTCAAACCTTCCTTCTAGGTTGAGCAATATTCTCTAGTATAAACTTACCTTCAGCTGAACTGAGCTTATTGTTAAGCTATTTTCAATGTTATAATTTACTTGTTTACTAGAGGGAGCTGATGATCATGATGATGTAATAACCAAGAAGTTTGGATAAGTACTGAGAGACAAGGGTACATTATTTATAAATACAAGTAGACACTTAGTGACTTCAATAAGTATTTAGTGAGTTTATGAGTTCGGCATCAGAAACGTTGTTCAGTGTTAAAGGTAAGAATGATCATATTTTCCCAATTACTCAAACAATAACCAAGGAAATTCTGTAAGTAAATTTCTTTGCGAAGCAGGCATACTAACAATTAATCAAGGAAATTTCTATTAAACACTATAAATGTATTAGTATTATGCCTACAGTAGTAACAGTAGTTCAAAAGTTCTATAATTGAAGTTAGACATACACGTGAAAGTGGCTCTAGTAAACTTAAAAGAAATAACAATTTAATCTGTTGTCATTACATGGACTGGACTATTTTCAACAATAAATTAAATAAAGTCTGCCCAATAATAGAACATGTTACATTATATTAGATAGAATTAAAAGTTCTCAGTGTCACTCACAGTACAAGTCTTGTTTCTTAATATTAGCTAATATATTTTCATGTAAAATAGCACTTCATATCATTAAGAAATGATGTGTAATACTACTTAATTACTAGTGAACCTGAAAATTATTAACTGTCTTGTAGATGTTGAACACCAGAAGATTATGTTATTTATTATTTATAGGAGGCAAACGTGTGAACTTGAAGTACTTACATTTAGAAAAGTTTCTGTCAGGGTGCCACAAAACAAATATCACCTAAGAAATCCTTGTCTAGTTGAGGAAGGGCTAATTAATTGGACTATAAGGTGGTTAGATGCGAGAAACCAAAATGTTATTAATACTGTCCTGTGAAGATGGGCTCTAATTACTAGTCAAGTGCCTCAGGAGATAATGCTAGTTTAGGCTTTTTCATTTTCATATTAATGATATTAGTAAGAGAATGAGTAGTAAAGTTTGCTAACGACACTAAACCGTTGGAACAATTGATAAGTTCACCAAATTACAGGCAAGTAAACTTTAATTACAATAAGTTCAAGGTAATGCATTTGGGTTATAATTTCATTCACATTTTAATAATAATATAGATGGGACCCACTCAAGTGTGACTGCAGAAAAGGATTTTTTGAGCAATTGGTAAAAGTTGGAGGTAGCTTTTAAAATTTGTTCAGACAACAAAAATGCCTTTTTCTTGTACTTACAAACTATCTGTGTTGTTGTGTATTTTCGGCCAATTTAGGTTGACAACTGCTCTCTGAGTAAGTACAAGAAAATAGCATTTTGTTTGTCTGAACACATTTTAGAATCTACCTCAGACTACCTCCAACATTTTGGGGTGCCCAAACTTGACCAAAGAGGCAGCTGTCGACCTAAAGTGGCTAAAAATACTTGCACCATAATACAGTCTAGAAGTACAAGAAAATGGCATTTCGTTTGTCTGAACACATTTTAAGAGCTACTTCCAACCTTTACCCACACCCACTTTTTGTATTGTTATAGGTAAGTCACTCAACCTTCTGAAGTTCAGCTCTATTGTTATAAATATAAGTAAAGCTCATATAACTTTATGGTTTATTTAGATACATACTGATTAAGTCAAGATAGATAATTATGTCTATATACAAATATTTACTTTAGTTAGGGCTCACTTAGAATAATCTGTATAATTTTGTTCTTATCTACATTGGAAAATGGGTTTCTATTCTAAATAGAGTTATTACAGTATTTGGTTGTAGGATTGGGAGAGTTAGCTTACAGTTATATTTACAGTGATAACTTAATATCTCTTAATTTATCTTCTTTTGACAAAAAAAGGAGGGAAGAAGTGGTCTTGGAAGTTGGATCAAATTTTAATTTAACTTCAATCTGGGTAAACTTTACTTGTTGGGTAAAAGTAAAACAAACATCTCAATAATGATGAAAAATGCTGAAAGTGAAAGTCAAATATTATTTCTGTAGTTAGTTGTAATTCAAATTTTAAGCATAATAAAAACTACTCTTAATTAAATTTTAAACGTTAAATAACATGAAAGTTGTATATCGTTAATAAATTTAAATTTAAAAGTAAAGAAATACGTTACTGTTACGTTTAGAATTGGTATACTGCGTATGCGATAAATCAAGTTATTTCAAAAGATGTTTTCTACCTTTCATTTAACTTTAACTACAGTAAAAACTATAATACTCAAACGTTCTCTTTTTTTTTTTAATCTTCAACTTTACCAGTGTCAATGACAGCGTATCGAAAGTTCTGAATCTGTTACTATTTGTATTAGTAGTAGTACCGGCGATATATCGAAGCTCTCGACACGTTCTAAAAATTGGCTTTTTAACTATTAATTCAGATTTTTCACACTTAATATTTCGGAAATAAGTATACAAATTTCGACGCCCACTTTCATGGAAGTTGGTAATTCTCCACTTTGATAATACACCCGTCAAACTAAAACAGGAAATAACTCTGAGCATATTACATATACCTTCGACAAACTGCAATAACACCTCACCTACGTCGTGTACTTAGTTAATAAAGGTCTTCCTAGGAAGTAAAAACAAAAAGTCAATGACATTTTTAGATTGTGCTGCCATCTTTTAGTGAATATTTCAACTATATCCTCTTACCCAATGAGAAAAATTCGTTTGATTTTATCGCTTTTTTTTATGATCCACATAAATTTTAGCATAAATGAAGAATTAAAAGCTTCATTAGTATTTTATCTATTTAATTTTTACACACTTGGTCTATAATGTAGACATATAATGATATATTCCAAGTAATAAGACTATGTATTATAAATCACAAATAAATGTCATTTCAGACTAAAGAAAAAGGGGAGAGTTCTTTTGAAGCGCCATCATTGTATTATTACTACGAGTGTAGAATTTAGATTTTAAAGAGGCTTTACGTGTTTGGACTGTATCACTATTAGACTTGAGAAGCGTAATAAGTTTAATTTCGCATTATATTCCCCTTTCATTTTACTAAGGTAAGTAATGGCTGTAAGATTTACGAAACAATACTATCCTGCTTAAACTGTAAGTGCAAATGAACTTCCGCATCTCAGCTAAGTGTTCAGTTTTTATTTTCGATCTCATTTTATTTTTCAGTGATTAAGCCTATAGGCTAATGTTTGTGCCAACACAAGTAGCAGTGGACAATGCCTTAAAATTCCAAACTTAAAAAAGAGAGAGAAAAAAAACATATTTGTTAGCTAGTCAGTTAGTGTGAGACTTTTTATTAATAACAATATGATGATACTTAAGCATGTGTGTGTCTTAAATTGAAACGTCTTTTTAACTTAAGTTATACTTACAGTAAAACTCATGCTGTCGACAAAATGTGGCTCAAAATTTTCAAATCTCCCTTACATACTTAAATGGCATGTATCTCACCCAAAATATTCTTCTTTCCCACCTTCCACATAAATTACACAAGCCTGCTATGGTTTTATTGTCTTGAAATTTGTACATGTTCTACATTAATTCCTGTTCACTGAATCCGAAAATGATATCCATTTTTCTCCATCACATACAGATTTTTCACAAAACGTCATAACTCAGTTCATAAAAGATTGACCACAACACGTTTATTTGAGACTGAAAGACATATATTTCACAAAACAAATTGGGATGAATGAGGATGCATATTCGTTTGACATCGGTGTTCATCCCTTTTCTTCAGTTTGTTTGTATTTTTGTTAACAAACATAATAACAAATAATGTTCGTTGTGTTAAACAAAATAATAATTTGATCTAAGTAAGAGTTTCTGTTCCCAATTTGTAAAAAAATTCTTACGTGATACAAATAAATGAATATTATGTTCAAAATCTGTATAACTGAATTGTAGAAAATCTGTTATTAAAGTCAAAACAACTTTTATGAAGTTTAAATTTGCAGGCCTGTGTTATTGTGTATGCATGCAACTTTGGATCTTAAGTAAGCTGTGCTTTCCTGCTATAAATTAGACCTTACCTGTAGTGTGCAGGTTGAAATCATTGATGCACTCTCAGCATTGATACTTTATCATATTCTTGCCATTATATACTGATAATACTTCACTTGCATACCACTTACCATTGGTCTTTGTTTACTAATGGTCATTTTTGCTCAAGAATGTTTGTAGATGTAATAATTGCACTCTAAATGTATGTACTATTTATAGTATTTTGGAATAAATAATATTCAACGTTAAACTGGTACACAATTAAAAAAGCATTTTATTTGGGCCTTCAAAAAGTTGATGACTCTACATGTTTCGACGTTATGTCATCATCAGGAGTGAATTACAAGACAATTGCCAAAGTATTTATAACTTGTTAGTTGGTCATTGGCCTTTATGTTATTTTTCATACATTCACGCTAAACCATTCAAAAGTGATCAATCCACATTCTTGCAGAAATAATCGCCAAACCTTCATCTGTATTTAATACTACATGATCTTTTTTATGTTTTATTATTTCTAACAATTCACAAATATTATTACCTTATAGCTTATATAAGCTCTACTTTCCTGCCATAAATTGAATTTGTTTGAAAATTGCAGTCGTGATGAAAATTCAGTTGTGGGAGGGAACGTATCTCAGTGGTAATTATATATATATCTCTTTGAAATTCATTTTGATTCTAAAAAACTTAAAAATCAAATCATACAGACTTACCTCCGAAATATTGAAAGCC